TGATATAAGCACACTCTTCCCCTTTCTATGCTATGTCTCTTTTCTCTGCTTACATTATGACAGGATACAGGGATGATATTAATCACACTCTTCCCTCTTCTATGCTATGTCTCTTTTTCTCTGCTTACATTATGACAGGATACAGGGATGATATTAATCACTCTTCCCTCTTCTATGCTATGTCTCTTTTTCTCTGCTTGCATTATGACAGGATACAGGGATGATATTAAGCACACTCTTCCCTCTTCTATGCTATGTCTCTTTTTCTCTGCTTGCATTATGACAGGATACAGGGATGATATTAAGCACACTCTTCCCTCTTCTATGCTATGTCTCTTTTTCTCTGCTTACATTATGACAGGATACAGGGGATGATATTAAGCACACTCTTCCCTCTTCTATGCAATGTCTTTTTTTCTCTACTTACATTATGACAGGATACAGGGATGATATTAATCATACACTCTTCCCTCTTCTATGCTATGTCTCTTTTCTCTGCTTACATTATGACAGGATACAGGGATGATATTAATCACTCTTCCCCTCTTCTATGCTATGTCTCTTTTCTCTGCTTACATTATGACAGGATACAGGGATGATATTAAGCATACACTTCCCCTCTTCTATGCTATGTCTCATTTTCTTGGCTTACATTATGACAGGATACAGGGATGATATTAAGCACACTCTTCCCTCTTCTATGCTCTGTCTTTTTTCTCTGCTTACATTATGACAGGATACAGGATGATGATAAACACACTTAATCATGTCTCTTTTTCTCTGCTTACATTATGACAGGATACTTCCCTCTTCCCTCTTCTATGCTATGTCTCTTTTCTCTGCTTACATTATGACAGGATACAGGGATGATATTAAGCACACTCTTCCCTCTTCTATGCTATGTCTCTTTTCTCTGCTTACATTATGACAGGATACAGGGATGATATTAATCTGCCTCTTCCCTCTTCTATGCTATGTCTCTTTTTTCTCTGCTTACATTATGACAGGATACAGGGGATGATATTAAGCACACTCTTCCCTCTTCTATGCTATGTCTCTTTTTCTCTGCTTACATTATGACAGGATACAGGGATGATATTAATCACACTCTTCCCTCTTCTATGCTATGTCTCTTTTCTCTGCTTACATTATGACAGGATACAGGGATGATATTAAGCACACTCTTCCCTCTTCTATGCTATGTCTCTTTTTCTTGCTTACATTATGACAGGATACAGGGGATGATATTAAAGCACACTCTTCCCCCTCTTCTATGCTATGTCTCTTTTCTCTGCTTACATTATGACAGGATACAGGGATGATATTAAGCACACTCTTCCCTCTTCTATGCTATGTCTCTTTTCTCTGCTTACATTATGACAGGATACAGGGATGATATTAAGCACACTCTTCCCTCTTCTATGCTATGTCTCTTTTCTCTGCTTACATTATGACAGGATACAGGGATGATATTAAGCACACTCTTCCCTCTTCTATGCTATGTCTCTTTTTCTCTGCTTACATTATGACAGGATACAGGGATGATATTAAGCACACTTCTTCCCTCTTCTATGCTATGTCTCTTTTTCTCTGCTTACATTATGACAGGATACAGGGATGATATTAAGCACACTCTTCCCCTCTTCTATGCTATGTCTCTTTTTTCTCTGCTTACATTATGACAGGATACAGGGATGATATTAATCACTCTTCCCTCTTCTATGCTATGTCTCTTTTTTTCTCTGCTTACATTATGACAGGATACAGGGATGATATTAAGCACACTCTTCCCTCTTCTATGCTATGTCTCTTTTCTCTGCTTACATTATGACAGGATACAGGGATGATATTAAGCACCTCTTCCCCTCTTCTATGCTATGTCTCTTTTCTCTGCTTACATTATGACAGGATACAGGGATGATATTAATCCCCTTCTACACTCTTCCTCTTCTATGCTATGTCTCTTTTTCTCTGCTCTACATTATGACAGGATACAGGGATGATATTAAGCACACTCTTCCCTCTTCTATGCTATGTCTCTTTTTCTCTACTTACATTATGACAGGATACAGGGGATGATATTAAGCACACTCTTCCCTCTTCTATGCAATGTCTCTTTTCTCTGCTTACATTATGACAGGATACAGGGGATGATATTAAACACACTCTTCCCTCTTCTTATGACTATGTCTCTTTTTCTCTGCACTTTTCTCTGTTTACATTATGACAGGATACAGGGATGATATTAAGCACACTCTTCCCTCTTCTATGCTATGTCTCTTTTTTCTCTGCTTACATTATGACAGGATACAGGGATGATATTAATCACACTCTTCCCCTCTTCTATGCTATGTCTCTTTTCTCTGCTTACATTATGACAGGATACAGGGATGATATTAATCACACTCTTCCCTCTTCTATGCTATGTCTCTTTTCTCTACTTACATTATGACAGGATACAGGGATGATAATAAGCACACTCTTCCCTCTTCTATGCAATGTCTCTTTTACATTATGACAGGATACAGGGATGATATTAAGCACACTCTTCCCTCTTCTATGCTATGTCTCTTTTCTCTGCTTACATTATGACAGGATACAGGGATGATATTAAGCACCTCTTCCCTCTTCTATGCTATGTCTCTTTTTTTTCTTATGACTTACATTATGACAGGATACAGGGATGATATTAAGCACACTCTTCCCTCTTCTATGCTATGTCTCTTTTTCTCTCTTTTCTCTGCTTACATTATGACAGGATACAGGGATGATATTAAGCACTCTTCCCCTCTTCTATGCCATGTCTCTTTTTTCTCTGCTTTACATTATGACAGGATACAGGGATGATATTAAGTGGCTCTTCCCCATCTTCTGCTATGTCTCTTTTTCTCTCTGCTTACATTATGACAGGATACAGGGATGATATTAAGCACACCACTCTTCCCTCTTCTATACTTATGTCTCTTTTCTCTGCTTACATTATGACAGGATACAGGGATGATATTAAGCACACTCTTCCCTCTTCTATGCTATGTCTCTTTTCTCTGCTTACATTATGACAGGATACAGGGATGATATTAACTCTTCCCTCTTCCCCTCATCTTATAGGATACATGGATCTCTTTTCTCTGCTTTTTCATTATGACAGGATACAGGGATGATATTTATCACACTCTTCCCTCTTCTCTATGCTGTGTCTCTTTTCTCTGCTTACATTATGACAGGATACAGGGATGATAATAAGCACACTCTTCCCCCTCTTCTATGCTATGTCTCTTTTTTCTCTGCTTACATTATGACAGGATACAGGGATGATATTAATCACCTCTTCCCTCATCTGTACTATGTCTCTTTTCTCTGCTTACATTATGACAGGATACATGGATGATATTAAGCACACTCTTCCCCCTTCTATGCTATGTCTCTTTTCTCTGCTTACATTATGACAGGATACAGGGGATGATATTAAAGCACTCTTCCCTCTTCTATGCAATGTCTCTTTTCTCTGCTTTTACATTATGACAGGTTACAGGGATGATATTGCATGCTATGTCTTTTTTCTCTGCTTACATTATGACAGGATACAGGGATGATAATGGCACACTCTTCCCTCTTCTATGCAATGTCTCTTTTCTCTGCTTACATTATGACAGGATACAGGATGATATTAATCACTCTTCCCCTCTTCTATGCTATGTCTCTTTTTCTCTGCTTACATTATGACAGGATACAGGGATGATATTAAGCACACTCTTCCCCTCTTCTATGCTCTGTCTCTTTTTCTCTGCTTACATTATGACAGGATACAGGGATGATATTAGCATTCTTCCCCCTTCTATGCAATGATCTTTTTCTCTTATGACAGGATACAGGATATGGGATATTAAGCACACTCTTCCTCTTCTATGCTATGTCTCTTTTTCTCTGCTTACATTATGACAGGATACAGGGATGATATTAAGCACACTCTTCCCCCTTCTGCTATGTGTCTTTTCTCTGCTTACATTGTGACAGGATACAGGGATGATATTAAGCACATTCCTCTTCTATGCTATGTCTCTTTTTCTCTGCTTACATTATGACAGGATACAGGGATGATATTAATCACACTCTTCCCCTCTTCTATGCTATGTCTCTTTTCTCTGCTTATATTATGACAGGATACAGGGATGATATTAAGCACACTCTTCCCCTCTTCTATGCTATGTCTCTTTTCTCTGCTTACATTATGACAGGGATACAGGGATGATATTAAGCACACTCTTCCCTCTTCTATGCTATGTCTCTTTTCTCTGCTTACATTATGACAGGATACAGGGATGATATTAAGCACCTCTTCCCCTTCTATGCTATGTCTCTTTTCTCTGCTTACATTATGACAGGATACAGGGATGATATTAAGCACACTCTTCCCCTCTTCTATGCTATGTCTCTTTTTTCTGCTTACATTATGACAGGATACAGGGATGATAATAATAATTCTTCCCCTCTTCTATGCTATGTCTCTTTTCTCTGCTTACACATTATGACAGGATACAGGGATGATATTAAACACACTCTTCCCCTCTTCTATGCTATGTCTCTTTTCTCTGCTTACATTATGACAGGATACAGGGATGATATTAAGCACCTCTTCCCCTCTTCTATGCTATGTCTCTTTTCTCTGCTTACATTATGACAGGATACAGGGATGATATGCACACTCTTCCCTCTTCTATGCAATGTCCTTTTTCTCTTTACATGACAGGATACATATTAAGCACTTTTCTTCTATGCTATGTCTCTTTTTTCTCTGCTTACATTATGACAGGGATACAGGGATGATATTAAACACTCTTCCCCTCTTCTATGCTATGTCTCTTTTTCTCTGCTTACATTATGACAGGATACAGGGATGATATTAAGCACACTCTCCCCCTCTTCTATGCAATGTCTCTTTTTCTCTGCTTACATTATGACAGGATACAGGGATGATATTAAGCACACTCTTCCCCTCTTCTATGCTATGTCTCTTTTTCTCTGCTTACATTATGACAGGATACAGGGATGATATTAAGCACACTCTTCCCCTCTTCTATGCATACATGTCTCTTTTCTCTGCTTACATTATGACAGGATACAGGGATGATATTAAGCCACTCTTCCCTCTTCTATGCTCTGTCTCTTTTCTCTGCTTACATTATGACAGGATACAGGGATGATAATAAGCACACTCTTCCCCCTTCTATGCTATGTCTCTTTTTTCTCTGCTTACATTATGACAGGATACAGGGATGATATTAAGCACACTCTTCCCTCTTCTATGCTATGTCTCTTTTCTCTGCTTACATTATGACAGGATACAGGGATGATATTAAGCACACTCTTCCCTCTTCTATGCAATGTCTCTTTTCTCTGCTTACATTATGACAGGATACAGGATGATATTAAGCACACTCTTCCCTCTTCTATGCTATGTCTCTCTTTCTCTGCTTACATTATGACAGGATACAGGGATGATATTAAGCACACTCTTCCCTCTTCTATGCTATGTCTCTTTTTCTCTGCTTACATTATGACAGGATACAGGGATGATATTAAGCACCTCTTCCCTCTTCTTACATGCTATGTCTCTTTTTTCTCTGCTTACATTATGACAGGATACAGGGATGATATTAAGCACACTCTTCCCTCTTCTATGCTATGTCTCTTTTTCTCTGCTTACATTATGACAGGATACAGGGATGATATTAACACACTCTTCCCCTCTTCTATGCTATGTCTCTTTTTCTCTGCTTACATTATGACAGGATACAGGGATGATATTAAGCACACTCTTCCCCCTCTTCTATGCTATGTCTCTTTTCTCTGCTTACATTATGACAGGATACAGGGATGATATTAAGCACACTCTTCCCCCTTCTATGCTATGTCTCTTTTTCTCTCTGCTTACATTATGACAGGATACAGGGATGATATTAAGCACCTCTTCCCTCTTCTATGCTATGTCTCTTTTTCTCTGCTTACATTATGACAGGATACAGGGATGATAATAAGCACACTCTTCCCTCTTCTATGCTATGTCTCTTTTCTCTGCTTACATTATGACAGGATACAGGGATGATATTAACACACTCTTCCCCTCTTCTATATATGTCTCTTTTCTCTGCTTACATTAAGGGATGAGGATCTTCCTCTTCTATGCAGGGATGATATTAAGCACACTCTTCCCCTCTTCTATGCTGTGTCTCTTTTTCTCTGCTTACATTATGACAGGATACAGGGATGATATTAATTTGCTCTTCTTCCCTCTTCTTTTCTCTGTACATTAATCAGGGATCTCTTAAGCACACTTTCTTCTATGTCTATGTCTTTTTTCTCTGCATTATGACAGGATACAGGGATGATATTAAGCACACTCTTCCCTCTTCTATGCTCTGTCTTTTTCTCTGCTTACATTATGACAGGATACAGGGATGATATTAAGCACACTCTTCCCTCTTCTATGCTCTGTCTCTTTTTCTCTTCTTACATTTGTGACAGGATACAGGGATGATATTAAGCACACTCTTCCCCTCTTCTATGCTATGTCTCTTTTTCTCTGCTTACATTATGACAGGATACAGGGATGATATTAGCACACTCTTTTTCCTCTTCTATGCTACAGTCTCTTTTTTCTCTGCTTACATTATGACAGGATACAGGGATGATATTAAGCACACTCTTCCCCTCTTCTCTGCTATGTCTCTTTTCTCTGCTTACATTATGACAGGATACAGGGATGATATTAAGCACACTCTTCCCTCTTCTATGCTATGTCTCTTTTCTTGGCTTACATTATGACAGGATACAGGGATGATATTCTTCCTCTTCCCCTCTTCTATGCTATGTCTCTTTTCTCTGCTTACATTATGACAGGATACAGGGATGATATTAATCACCTCTTCCCTCATCTATGCATGTCTCTTTTCTCTGCTTACATTATGACAGGATGCAGGGATGATAATAAGCACCTCTTCCCTCTTCTATGCTATGTCTCTTTTTCTCTGCTTACACATTATGACAGGATTCAGGGGATGATAGTAACACCTCTTCCCCTTTCCCTCTTTTTCTCTCTTCTTATGACAGGATACGGGATGATGTAATCACTCTTTTTCTCTGCTGTCTCTTTTCTCTGCTTACATTATGACAGGATACCCAGGGATGATATTAATCACCTCTTCCCCCCTTCTATGCTATGTCTCTTTTTCTCTGCTTACATTATGACAGGATACAGGGATGATATTAATCACACTCTTCCCCTCTTCTGTGCTATGTCTCTTTTTCTCTGCTTACATTATGACGGGATACAGGGGATGATATTAAGCACACTCTTCCCTCTTCTATGCTATGTCTCTTTTCTCTGCTTACATTATGACAGGATACAGGGATGATATTAAGCACACTCTTCCCCCCCTCTTCTATGCAATGTCTCTTTTCTCTGCTTACATTATGACAGGATACAGGGATGATATTAAGCACACTCTTCCCCTCTTCTCTGTTATGTCTCTTTTTTCTCTGCTTACATTATGACAGGATACAGGGATGATATTAATCACTCTTCCCTCTTCTGCTATGTCTCTTTTTTCTCTGCTTACATTGTGACAGGATACAGGGATGATATTAAGCACACTCTTCCCCTCTTCTATGTTATGTCTCTTTCTCTGCTTACATTATGACAGGATACAGGGATGATATTAAGCACACTCTTCCCTCTTCTATGCTATGTCTCTTTTCTCTGCTTACATTATGACAGGATACAGGGATGATATTAAGCACCTCTTCCCTCTTTCTATGCTATGTCTCTTTTTCTCTGCTTACATTATGACAGGATACAGGGATGATATTAAACACACTCTTCCTCTTCTATACCTCTTCTTTGCTTGTGTCCTTTTTTTCTCTGCTCTCTTTTTTCTCTGCTTACATTATGACAGGATACAGGGATGATATTAAGCACACTCTTCCCCCCTTCTATGCTATGTCTCTTTTTTTCTCTGCTTATATTATGACAGGATACAGGGATGATATTAAACACACTTCCCCTTTCCCTCTTCTATGCTGTATTGATATTAATCTCTTTCCCTCTTCTATGCTGCTTTTCTCTGATTACAGGATACAGGGATGATATTAAGCACACTCTTCCCTCTTCTATGCTCTGTCTCTTTTTCTCTGCTTACATTATGACAGGATACAGGGATGATATTAAACACACTCTTCCCTCTTCTATGCTCTGTCTCTTTTCTCTGCTTACATTGTGACAGGATACAGGGATGATATTAAGCACCTCTTCCCTCTTCTATGCTATGTCTCTTTTTCTCTGCTTACATTATGACAGGATACAGGATGATGATATTAAACACACTCTTCCCCTCTTCTATGCTATGTCTCTTTTTCTCTGCTTACATTATGACAGGATACAGGGATGATATTAATGACACTCTCTTCTATGCTGTATGTCTCTTTTCTCTGCTTCATTATGACAGGATACAGGGATGATATTAAGCACCTCTTCCCTTTGTCTCTTTTCTCTGCTTACATTATGACAGGATACAGGGATGATATTAAGCACTCTTCTATTCCTCTTTTCTCTGCTTACATTATGACTACAAAAGGATGATATTATTCCCTCTCTTTATGTCTCTTTTTCTCTGCTTACATTATGACAGGATACAGGGATGATATTAAGCTCACTCTTCCCCTCTTCTATGCTATGTCTCTTTTCTCTGCTTACATTATGACAGGATACAGGGATGATATTAATCACACTCTTCCCTCTTCTATGCTATGTCTCTTTTCTCTGCTTACATTATGACAGGATACAGGGATGATATTAAAACACACTCTTCCCCCTCTTCTATGCTGTCTCTTTTTCTCTGCTTACATTATGACAGGATACAGGGATGATATTAAGCACACTCTTCCCCTCTTCTATGCTATGTCTCTTTTTCTCTGCTTACATTATGACAGGATACAGGGATGATATTACATCTATTCCCTCTTTCAATGCTGCTATGTCTTTTTCTCTCTTCTTATGACAGGATACAAGGATGATCTTCCCTTTTTCTATGTCTCTTTTTCTCTGCTTATGACAGGATACAGGGATGATATTAAGCACACTCTTCCCTCTTCTATGCTATGTCTCTTTTCTCTGCTTACATTATGACAGGATACAGGGATGATATTAAGCACTCTTCCCTTTCTATGCTTGTCTCTTTTCTCTGCTTACATTATGACAGGATACAGGATGATATTAAGCACACACTTCCCTCTTCTATGCTATGTCTCTTTTTTCTGCTTACATTATGACAGGATTCAGGGATGATATTAAACACACTCTTCCCTCTTCCCTCTCTTCTATGCTATGTCTTTTTTCTCTGCTTACATTATTGATACAGGGATATATTAAAGGATGATCTTCTATGCTGTCCTCTTTTTTCTCTGCTTCTTATGACTATGATATTAATTCTCTTTTTCTCTGCTTACATTATGACAGGATACAGGGATGATATTAATTCCACTCTTCCCTCTTCTATGCTATGTCTCTTTTCTCTGCTTACATTATGACAGGATACAGGGGATGATATTAAGCACACTCTTCCCTCTTCTATGCTATGTCTCTTTTCTCTGTTACATTATGACAGGATACAGGGATGATTTTCTCTTCCCTCTTCTATTATGTCTCTTTTCTCTGCTTACATTATGACAGGATACAGGGATGATATTACACTCTTCTTCCCTCTTCTATGCTATGTCTCTTTTCTCTGCTTACATTATGACAGGATATAGGGATGATATTATTATTCTTCCCCTCTTCTATACTATGTCTCTTTTCTCTGCTTACTTCAGGATACATGGATGCTATGTCTCTTTTCTCTTTTTCTCATTTGATGACAGGATACAGGGATGATATTAAGCACACTTCCCCTCTTCTATGCTATGTCTCTTTTCTCTGCTTATATTTGACAGGATACAGGGATGATATTAAGCACACTCTTCCCTCTTCTATGCTATGTCTCTTTTTCTCTCTGCTTACATTATGACAGGATACAGGGATGATATTAAGCTCTCTTCCCTCTTCTATGCTATGTCTCTTTTTCTCTGCTTACATTATGACAGGATAGGATGATATTAAGCACCTCTTCCCTCTTCTATGCTATGTCTCTTTTCTCTGCTTATATTATGACAGGATACAGGGATGATATTAAGCACACTCTTCCCCTCTTCTATGCAATGTCTCTTTTTTATGTCTCTGCTTACATTATGACAGGATACAGGGATGATATTAAGCACCTCTTCCCCTCTTCTGTCTATGTCTTTTTCTCTGCTTCTTCTGACGGGATACAGGGATGTCTCTTTTCTCTTCCCTTTATATTATTTTTCTCTGCTTACATTTTGACAGGATACAGGGATGATATTAAGCTTTGCTCTTCCCCTCTTCTATGCTGTCTCTCTTTTCTCTGCTTACATTATGACAGGATACAGGGATGATATTAAGCACACTCTTCCCCTCTTCTATGCTAATGTCTCTTTTTTCTCTGCTTACATTTTGACAGGATACAGGGATGATATTAAGCACACTCTTCCCCTCATCTATGCTATGTCTCTTTTTCTCTGCTTACATTATGACAGGATACAGGGATGATAACACTCTTCCCTCTTCTATGCTATGTCTCTTTTCTCTGCTTTACATTGTGACAGGATACATTATGGGATGATATTAAGCACACTCTTCCCTCTTCTATCTATCCTCTTTTCTCTGCATGCATAATGACAGGGATACATGGATGATATTATTTTACTCCCCCTCTTCTATGCTCTTTTTCTCTGCTTACATTATGACAGGATACAGGGATGATATTAAGCACACTCTTCCCCACTTCTATGCTATGTCTCTTTTCTCTGCTTACATTATGACAGGATACAGGGATGATATTAAGCACACTTCCCTTCCCTCTTTTCTCTGTACATTATGACGGGATACAATGTCTCTTTTCTCTGTGCAATGTCTTTTCTTACATTATGACAGGATACAGGGATGATATTAATCACACTCTTCCCCTCTTCTATGTGTCTCTTTTTCTCTGCTTACATTATGACAGGATACAGGGATGATATTAAGCACACTCTTCCCTCTTCTATGCTATGTCTCTTTTCTCTGCTTACATTATGACAGGATACAGGGATGATATTAAGCACCTCTTCCCTCTTCTATGCAATGTCTCTTTTCTCTGCTTACATTATGACAGGATACAGGGATGATATTAATTCACTCTTCCCCTCTTCTATGCTATGTCTCTTTTCTCTGCTTACATTTTGACAGGATACAGGGATGATATTAAACACTCTTCCCTCTTCTATGCTATGTCTCTTTTCTTGGCTTACATTATGACACAGGATACAGGGATGATATTATGTGTTTTTCTCTGCTTATATTTTGACAGGATACATATTAATGCTCTTCCCTCTTCTATGCTATGTCTCTTTTCTCTGCTTACATTATGACAGGATACAGGGATGATATTAAGCACACTCTTCCCTCTTCCTCTTCTGTGACAGGATATGTCTCTTTTTCTCTGCTTTTCTCTGCTTATTATGACAGGATACAGGGATGATATTAAACACACTCTTCCCTCTTCTATGCTATGTCTCTTTTCTCTGCTTACATTATGACAGGATACAGGGATGATATTAAGCACACTCTTCCCTCTTCTATGCAATGTCTCTTTTTCTCTGCTTACATTATGACAGGATACAGGGGATGATGGACTCTTCCCTCATCTATGCTATGTCTCCTTTTCTCTTCCCTCTTCTTCTATGCTATGTCTCTTTTCTCTGCTTACATTATGACAGGATACAGGGATGATATTAAGCACACTCTTCCCTCTTCTATGCTATGTCTCTTTTTTTCTCTGCTTACATTATGACAGGATTCAGGATGATATTAAGCTCCTCTTCCCCTCTTCTGTACTGTGTCTTTTTCTCTGCTTACATTATGACAGGATACAGGGATGATATTAATCACACTCTTCCCCTCATCTGTGCTATGTCTCTTTTTCTCTGCTTACATTATGACAGGATACAAGGATGATATTAAGCACACTCTTCCCTCTTCTATGCTATGTCTCTTTTCTCTGCTTACGTACTGACCGGATACAGGGATGATAAAGCACCTCTTCCCTCTTCTTCCCTCTTCTATTATGACAGGGATGTCTCTTTTTCTATGCAATGTCTTTTTTCTCTGCTTACATTGTGACAGGATACGGGATGATGTTAATCACACTCTTCCCTCATCTATGCTATGTCTCTTTTCTCTGCTTTTGTTATGACAGGATACAGGATGATGTGCGCTTGCCTCTTCCCCTCTTCTGCATGTCTTTTCTCTTACATTATGACAGGATACAGGATGATAATCTTCTTCCCCTCTTTTCTCTCTTACATTGCTCAGGGATGTCTCTTTTTCTCTTCTCTGCTTACATTATGACAGGATACAGGGATGATATTAATCACACTCTTCCTCTTCTATACTATGTCTCTTTTCTCTGCTTACATTATGACAGGATACAAGGGATGATATTAAGCACACTCTTCCCTCTTCTATGCTATGTCTCTTTTCTCTGCTTACATTATGACAGGATACAGGGATGATATTAAGCACACTCTTCCCCCTTCTGTGCTATGTCTCTTTTTTCTCTGCTTACATTTATGACAGGATACAGGGATGATATTAAGCACACTCTTCCCTCTTCTATGCTATGTCTCTTTTCTCTGCTTTGTTATGACAGGATACAGGGATGATATTAATCACACTCTTCCCTCTTCTGTGCTATGTCTCTTTCTCTGCTTACATTATGACAGGATACAGGGATGATATTAAGCACACTCTTCCCCTCTTCTATGCTATGTCTCTTTTCTCTGCTTACATTATGACAGGATACAGGGATGATATTATAAGCACTCTTCCCCTCTTCTATGCTAGTGTCTCTTTTTCTCTGCATACATTATGACAGGATACATGGATGATATTAAGCTTTCCCCTCTTCCTATGCTATGTCTCTTTTTCTCTTTACATTATGACAGGATACAGGGATGTTATTAATAACACTTTTCCCTCATCTATGCTGTGTCTCTTTTTTCTGCTTACATTATGACAGGATACAGGGATGATATTAATCACCTCTTCCCCTCTTCTATGCTATGTCTCTTTTTCTCTGCTTACATTATGACAGGATAGGGGATGATATTAATCTACCTCTTCCCTCTTCTATGCAATGTCTCTTTTCTCTGCTTACATTATGACAGGATACAGGGGATGATATTAAGACACTCTTCCCTCTTCTATGCTATGTCTTTTTTTCTCTGCTTACATTATGACAGGGATACAGGGATGATATTAATCACACTCTTCCCTCTTCTATGCTATGTCTCTTTTCTCTGCCCATTATGACAGGATACAGGGATGATAGTAATCCACTCTTCCCTCTTCTATGCTATGTCTCTTTTCTCTGCTTACATTATGACAGGATACATGGGATGATATTAAGCACCTCTTCCCTCTTCTATGCTATGTCTCTTTTCTCTGTTACATTATGACAGGATACAGGGATGATGTAAGCACACTCTTCCCTCTTCTATGCTATGTCTCTTTTCTCTGCTTACATTATGACCAGGATACAGGGATGATGATAAGCTCACTCTTCCCTCTTCTATGCTATGTCTCTTTTCTCTGCTTACATTATGACAGGATACAGGGGTGATAATAACACTCTTCCCCTCTTCTATGCAATGTCTCTTTTTCTCTGCTTACATTATGACAGGATACAGGGATGCAGGATCTTCCCTCTTCTATGATGTCTCTTTTTCTCTGCTTACATTATGACAGGATACAGGGATGATATTACACTCTTCCCCTCTTCTATGCTATGTCTCTTTTTCTCTGCTTACATTATGACAGGATACAGGGATGATATTAATGACACTCTTCCCCTCTTCTGTGCAATGTCTCTTTTCTCTGCTTACATTATGACAGGATACAGGGATGATATTAGCACCTCTTCCCTCTTCTATGCTATGGCTCTTTTCTCTGCTTACATTATGACGGGATACAGGGATATTAAATTCCGCTCTTCCCTCATCCTTTCACTATGTCTCTTTTTTCTGCTTACATTATGACAGGATACAGGGATGATATTAAACACCTCTTCCCCTCTTCTATGCTATGTCTCTTTTTCTCTGCTTACATTATGACAGGATACAGGGATGATATTAAGACACTCTTCCCCTCTTCTATATATGTCTCTTTTTCTCTGCTTACATTATGACAGGATTTTGGGGATGATATTAATCCCACACTTCCCTCTTCTATGCTATGTCTCTTTTCTCTGCTTACATAATGACAGGATACAGGGATGATATTAATCACTCTTCCCTCTTCTATGCTATGTCTCTTTTCTCTGCTTACATTATGAAAGGATATACAAGGATGATATTAAGCACACTCTTCCCTCTTCTATGCTATGTCTCTTTTCTCTGCTTACATTATGACAGGATACAGGGATGATATTAAACACTCTTCCCTCTTCTATGCAATGTCTCTTTTCTCTGCCCCATTATGACAGGATACAGGGATGATATTAAGCTTTCTACCCCTCTTCTATGCTGTGTCTTTTTTTTCTCTGCTTACATTATGACAGGATACAGGGATGATATTAAGCACACTCTTCCCTCTTCTATGCTATGTCTCTTTTCTCTTTACATTATGACAGGATACAGGGATGATATTAAGCACACTCTTCCCCTCTTCTATGCTATGTCTCTTTCTCTGCTTACATTATGACCAGGATACAGGGGATGATATTAACACCTCTTCCCCTCTTCTATGCTATGTCTCTTTTCTCTGCTTACATTATGACAGGATACAGGGGATGATAATGCTTTACTCTTCCTCTTCTTTATGTCTCTTTTTTCTCTACTTACATTATGACAGGATACAAGGATGATATTACACACTCTTCCCTCTTCTATGCTATGTCTCTTTTTTCTCTGCTTACATTATGACAGGATACAGGGATGATATTAATCCACACTCTTCCCTCTTCTATGCTTTATGTCTCTTTTCTCTGCTTACATTATGACAGGATACAGGGATGATATTAAGCACACTCTTCCCTATTCTTCTATTACGACAGGATACAGGGATGTCTCTTTTCTCTGCTTTTTCTTACATTATGACAGGATACAGGGATGATATTAATCACACTCTTCCCCCTCTTCTATGCTATGTCTCTTTTTCTCTGCTTACATTATGACAGGATACATGGATGATAATAATCACCTCTTCCCTCTTCTATATGTCTTTTTCCCTGCTTTTATTATGACAGGATACAGGGATGTTATTAATAACACACTTCCCTCATCTATGATATGTCACTTTTTTTCTGCTTACATTATGACAGGATACAGGGATGATATTAATCACACTCTTCCCTCTTCTATGCTATGTCTCTTTTTCTCTGCTTACATTATGACAGGATACAGGGATGATATTAAGCACACTCTTCCCTCTTCTATGCTATGTCTCTTTTTCTCTGCTTACATTATGACAGGATACAGGGATGATATTAAGCACACTCTTCCCTCTTCTATGCTATGTCTCTTTTTCTCTGCTTACATTATGACAGGATACAGGGATGATATTAATCCCACACTTCCCTCTTCTTGCTATGTCTCTTTTTCTCTGCTTACATTATGACAGGATACAGAGATGATATTAAGCACACTCTTCCCCACTTCTACGCTATGTCTCTTTTTCTCTGCGTATATTATGAAAGGATACAGGGATGATATTAAGGATACTCTTCCCCTCTTGTATGCTATGTCACATTTTCTCTGCTTACATTATGACAGGATACAGGGATGATATTAAGCACACTCTCCCCCTCTTCTATGCTATGTCTCTTTTTCTCTGCTTACATTATGACAGGATACAGGGATGATATTAAGCACACTCTTCCCCTCTTCTATGCTATGTCTCTTTTTTCTCTGCTTACATTATGACAGGATACAGGGATGATATTAATCAAACTCTACCCCTCTTCTATGCTGTATCTCTTTTTCCCTCATTATGACAGGATACAGGGATTTATGTCCCCTCTTTCTCTCTTTTCTCAACACATTATGACAGGATACAAGGGATGATATTAAGCACACTCTTCCCTCTTCTATGCAATGTCTCTTTTCTCTGCTTACATTATGACAGGATACAGGGATGATATTAAGCACTCTTCCTCTTCTGTAATGTCTCTTTTCTCTGCTTACATTATGACAGGATACTTCCCCCTCTTCTATGCTATGTCTCTCTTTTTCTCTGCTTACATTATGACAGGATACAAGGATAGTATTAAGCACTCTTCCTCATCTATGCTGTGTCTCTTTTCTCTGCTTACATTATGACAGGATACAGGGATGATATTAATCACACTCTTCCCTCTTCTATGCAATGTCTCTCTTTTCTCTGCTTACATTATGACAGGATACAGGATGATATTAAGCACACTCTTCCCCTCTTCTATGCAATGTCTCTTTTCTCTGCTTACATTATGACAGGATACAGGGATGATATTAAAGCACCTCTTCCCTCTTCTATGCTATGTCTCTTTTTCTCTGCTTACATCATGACAGGATACAGGGATTATATTAAGCACACACTCTTCCCCCTCTTCTAGCTATGTCTCTTTTTTCTCTGCTTACATTATGACAGGATACAGGGGATGATATTAATTCACTCTTCCTCTTCTCTATGTCTCTTTTTCTCTGCTTTTGTCATGACAGGATGCAAGGGATGATAATAACACTCTTTTGTCTTTTCTCTGCTTACATTATGACAGGATACAGGGATGATATTAATTCCACTCTTCCTCTTCTGTACTGTGTCTCTTTTCTCTGCTTACATTATGACAGGATACAGGGGATGATATTAAGCACCTCTTCCCTCTTCTATGCTGTGTCTCTTTTTCTCTGCTTACATAATGACAGGATACAGGGATGATATTAATCACACTCTTCCCTCTTCTATGCAATGTCTCTTTTCTCTGCTTACATTATGACAGGATACAGGGGATGATATTAAGCACACTCTTCCCCTCTTCTATGCTGTCTCTCTTTTCTCTGCTTTACATAATGACAGGATACAGGGATGATATTAAGCACACTCTTCCCTCTTCTATGCAATGTCTCTTTTTTCTGCTTACATTATGACAGGATACAGGGATGATAATGATTCCACTCTTCCCTCTTCTATGCTATGTCTCTTTTTCTCTGCTTACATCATGACAGGATACAGGGATGATATTAAGCTCTTCCCTCTTCTATATATGTCTCTTTTTCTCTGCTTACATTATGACAGGATACAGGGATGATATTAGCACTCTCTTCCCTCTTCTATGCTCTGTCTCTTTTTCTCTGCTTACATTACGACAGGATACAGGGATGATATTATGCTTTACTCTTCCCCACTTCTATACAATGTCTCTCTTTTCTCTGCTTACATTAGGACAGGATACAGGGATGATATTAAGCACTCTTCCCCTCTTCTATGCTATGTCTTTTTCTCTGCTTACATTATGACAGTATACAGGGATAATATTAACACCTCTTCCCTCTTCTATGCAATGTCTCTTTTTCTCTGCTTTGTTGCTGACAGGATACAGGGATGATATTAGCTCACTCTTCCCCCTTCTATGCAATGTCTCTTTTTCTCTGACCCAGGATACAGGGATGATATTAATTCCACTCTTCCCTCTTCCTGCTATGTCTCTTTCTCTGCCCATTGCTGACAGGATACAGGGATGATATTAAGCACCCCCTCTTCTCTTCCCCTCTTCTTATGCTACAGGGAGGATATTAAGCACACTCTTTTTCTCTCTCTTTTCTCTGCTTACTTTATGACAGGATACAGAGATGATATAGGTCCTCTTCCCCCTTCTATGCTATGTCCCCTTCTCCTGCTTGCATCTGTGACAGGATACAGGGATGATAATAAGCACACTCTTCCCCTCTTCTATGCTGTGTCTCTTTTCTCTGCTTACATTATGACAGGATACAGGGGATGATAATAAGCACACTCTTCCCCTCTTCTATGCTATGTCTCTTTTCCTCTGCTTACATTATGACAGGATACAGGGATGATAAGCTCACTCTTCCCCTCTTCTTGCTGTGTCTCTTTTCTCTGCTTACACTATGACAGGATACATGGATGATATTAAGCTCACTCTTCCCCCTTCTATTCTGTGTCTCTTTTTCTCTGTTTACATAATGACAGGATACATGGATGATATTAAGCACCTCTTCCCTCTTCTATGCTGTGTCTCTTTTCTCTGCTTACATTATGACAGGATACAGGGATGATATTAAGCACACTCTTCCCTCTTCTATGCTATGTCTCTTTTCTCTGCTTACATTATGACCCAGGATACAGGGATGATATTAAGCTCACTCTTCCCCTCTTCATATATGTCTCTTTTCTCTGCTTACATTATGACAGGATACAGGGATGATATTAACACACTCTTCCCTCTTCTATGCTATGTCTCTTTTTCTCTGCTTACATTATGACAGGATACATGGGATGATATTATTCACACCTTCCCCAATTCTATGCTATGTCTCTTTTTCTCTTTACATAATGACAGGATACATGGGATGATATTAGCACACTCTTCCCTTTCTATGCTATGTCTCTTTTCTCTGACACATTATGACAGGATACAGGGATGATATTAATCACACTTCCCTTTCTATGCTCATCTCTTTTCTCTGCTTGCATTATGACAGGATACAGGATGATATTAATCACACTCTTCCCTCTTCTATGCTATGTCTCTTTCCTCTCTATGCTATACATTATAACAGGATACAGGGATGATATTAATCACACTCTTCCCTCTTCTATGCTATGTCTCTTTTTTCTGCTTACATTATGACAGGATACAGGGATGATATTAAGCACACACTCTTCCTCTTCTATGCCATGTCTCTTTTTCAGGATATATGTCTCTTTTTTCTCTGCTTACATTATGACAGGATACAGGGATGATGACACACTCTTCCCTCTTCTATGATATGTCTCTTTTTCTCTGCTTACATTATGACGGGATGCAGGGATGATATTAAACACACTCTTCCCTCTTCTATGCTATGTCTTTTTTTGGCTTACATTATGACAGGATACAGGGATGATATTAAGCACACTCTTCCCTCTTCTATGCTGCTCTCTTTTTCTCTGCTTACATTATGACAGGATACAGGGATGATATTGTGCTGTCTCTTCCCCCTTCTATGCTCTGTCTCTTTTCTCTGCTTACATTATGACAGGATACAGGGATGATAGCCAGGCCCCCCCTTCTATGCTCTGTCTCTTTTCTCTGCTTACATTATGACAGGATACAGGGATGATAATGCAAGCACCTCTTCCCCTTTCTATGCTCTGTCTCTTTTCTCAGCTTACATTATGACAGGATACTGGGATGATATTAAGCACACTCTTCCCCACTTCTATGCTCTGTCTCTTTTTCTCTGCTTACATTATGACAGGATACAGGGATGATATTAAGCACACTCTTCCACTCTTCTATGCTATGTCTCTTTTCTCTCTTTTCTCTGGAGGGATTTACATTTCCCCCACTTCTATGACTCTTTTTCTCTAATTGTGAGGGATACAGGGATGATATTAATCCGCACTCTTCCCCTCTTCTATGCAATGTCTCTTTTCTCTGCTTACATTGACAGGATACAGGGATGATATTAATCTTCACTCTTCCCTCTTCTATGCTATGTCTCTTTTCTCTGCTTACATTATGACAGGATACAGGGATGATATTAAGCTCACTCTTCCCCTTCTATGCTATGTCTTTTTCTCTGTTTACATTAATGACAGGATACAGGGGATGATATTCTTCTATGCTGTCTCTTTTCTCTGCTTCTTATGACAGGATATGTCTCTTTTCTCTGTCTCTTTTTTTGACACATTATGACAGGATACAGGGATGATATTAAGCACACCTCTTCCCTCTTCTATGCTATGTCTCTTTTTTCTCTGCTTACATTATGACAGGATACAGGGATGATATTAATCTTCCCTCTCTTCCCTCTTCTGCTATGTCTTCTTTTTTCTCTGTTTACATTATGACAGGATACAGGGATGATATTAAGCACCTCTTCCCTCTTCTATGCTATGTCTCTTTTTTCTCTGGCTTACATTATGACAGGATACAGGGATGATATTAAGCACCTCTTCCCTCTTCTATGCTATGTCTCTTTTCTCTTGCTTACATTATGACAGGATACAGGATGATATAATCACACTCTTCCCTCTTCTATGCTATGTCTCTTTTTCTCTGCTTACATTATGACGGGATACAGGGATGATATTAAGCACACTCTTCCCTCTTCTATGCTATGTGTCTCTTTTTCTCTGCTTATGGTCATTTTTCCTTTTCTTTATTATGACAGGATACAGGGATGATATTAATCACACTTTTCCCCTCTTCTATGCAATGTCTCTTTTTTTCTGCTTACATTATGACAGGATACAGGATGATATTAATCCCTGTGTCTCATTTCTTCCATTATGACAAGTTCTATAATGCTGTCTCTCTTTTTTTTCTCTGCTTACATTATGACAGGATACAGGATGATATTAAGCACACTCTTCCCCACTTCTATGCTATGTCTCTTTTCTCTGCTTACATTATGACAGGATACAGGGATGATATGTGCACACTCTTCCCTCTTCTATGCTATGTCTCTTTTTCTCTGCTTACATTATGATAGGATACAGGGATGATATAATTGCTCTTCCTCCTTTCTATGCTATGTCTCTTTTCTCTGCTTACATTATGACACAGGATACAGGGATGATATTAAGCACACTCTTCCCCTCTTCTATGCTATGTCTCTTTTCTCTGCTTATATTATGACAGGATACAGGGATGATATTAATCCACCTCTTCCCTCTTCTATGCTCTGTCTTTTTCTCTGCTTACATTATGACAGGATACAGGGATGATAAAGCACACCTCTTCCCCTCTTCTATAAAGTGTCTCTTTCTCTGCTTACATTATGACGGGATAAAGGGATGATATTAAACACACTCTTCCCCTCTTCTATGCTATGTCACTTTTTTCTCTGCTTTACATTATGACAGGATACAGGGATGATATTAAGCACACTCTTCCCCCCTTCTATGCTATGTCTCTCTTTTCACTGCTTACATTATGACAGGATACAGGGATGATATTAAATAACTTCCTTCCCCTCTTCTATGCTGTGTCTTTTTCTCTGCTTTATATTACGACAGGATACAGGGATGATATTAATTACTACTCTTCCCTCATCTATGCTATGTCTCTTTTCTCTTGCTTATATTATGACAGGATACAAGGATGATATTAAACACACTCTTCCCCTCTTCTATGCTATGTCTCTTTTTCTCCTGCTTACATTATGACAGGATACAGGATGATATTGGCCTACTTTTCCCTCTTCCCTGCTTATATTATGACAGGATATGCTATGTCTCTTTTCTCTGCTTACATTATGACAGGATGGGGATGATAATAGAAACACCTCTTCCCCTCTTCTATGCAATGTCTCTTTTTCTCTGCTTACATTGTGACAGGATACAGGGATGATATTAAGCACCTCTTCCCTCTTCTATGTGCTCTTTTTCTCTGCTTACATTATGACGGATACAGGATGATATTAATCACTCTTCCCTCATCATGCTATGTCTCTTTTTCTCTGCTTACATTGTGACAGGATACAGGGATGATAAAGCACACTCTTCCCCCTCTTCTATGCAATGTCTCTTTTTCTCTGCTTACATTATGACAGGATACAGGGATGATAGTAAAGCACCTCTTCCCCTCTTCTATGCTATGTCTCTTTTCTCTGCTTACATTATGACAGGATTCAGGGATGATAGTAAGCTCACTCTTCCCCTCTTCTATGCTATGTCTTTTTCTCTGCTTACATTGCTGACAGGATACAGGGATGATATTAATCACACTCTTCCCTCATCTATGCTATGTCTCTTTTTTCTCTGCTTACATTATGACAGGATACAAAGGATGATATTAAGCACTCTTCCCTCTTCTGCTATGTCTCTTTTTTCTCTAACACATTATGACGGGATAGGGATGATGATCTTCCCTCTTCTATGCACACTCTTTTCCCTCTTCTATGCTATCATCTCTTTTCTCTGCTCTAGCACATTATGACAGGATACAGGGATGATAAAGCACCTCTTCCCTCTTCTATGCAATGTCTCTTTTTCTCTGCTTACATTATGACAGGATACAGGGATGATATTATTTTAACTTTTCTTCTATGCTATGTCTCTTTTCTCTGCTTACATTATGACAGGATACAGGGATGATATTAAGCACACTTCCCCTCTTCTATGCAATGTCTCTTTTTTCTGCTTACATTATGACAGGATACAGGGATGATATTAAGCACACTCTTCCCTCTTCTATGCAATGTCTCTTTTCTCTGCTTACATTATGACAGGATACAGGGATGATATTAAGTACACTCTTCCCCCTCTTCTATGCAATGTCTCTTTTCTGCTTACATTATGACAGGATAAGGGGATGATATTAAGCAAACTCTTCCCTCTTCTATGCTATGTCTCTTTTCTCTGCTTACATTATGACAGGATACAGGGATGATATTAAGCATATGCAATGTGTCTTTTCTCTGCTTACATCATGACAGGATACAGGGGATGATATTAGTGGCCTCTTCCCTCTTCTATGCAATGTCTCTTTTCTCTGCTTACATTATGACAGGATACAGGGGATGATATTAAGCACTCTTCCCTCTTCTGCTATGTCTCTTTTTCTCTTTACATTATGACAGGATACAGGGATGATATTAAGCACATTCTTCCCTCTTCTATGCTATGTCTCTTTTCTCTGCTCTGCTTGCATTATGACAGGATGTCTCTTTTTCTCTTAACACATTATAACAGGATACAGGGATGATATTAAGCTCTCTTCCCTCTTCTATGCAATGTCTCTTTTTTCTCTGCTTACATTATGACAGGATACAGGGATGATATTAAGCACACTCTTCCCTCTTCTATGCTGTGTCTTTTCTGCTTACATTATGTACAGGGATGATATTAATGACTCTCTTCCCTCTTCTATGCTTTCTTTTTTTCTGCTTACATTATGACAGGATACAGGGATGATATTAAGCACACTCTTCCCTCTTCTATGCTATGTCTCTTTTTCTCTGCTTACATTATGACAGGATACAGGGATGATATTAAGCACACTCTTCCCTTTCTATGCTATGTCTCTTTTCTCTGCTTACATTATGACAGGATACAGGGGATGATATTACTTCTCTTCCCTCTTCTATGCAATGTCTCTCTTTCTCTGCTTACATTGTATGACGGGATAGGGATGATATTAATCACACTCTTCCTCTTCTATACACAATGTCTCTTTTTCTCTACTTACATTATGACAAGATACAGGGATGATAATAGCCCACTCTTTCCCTCTTCTATGCTGTGTCTCTTTTCTCTGCTTGTTATGACAGGATACAGGGGATGATGTGCAACACACTCTTCCCCTCTTCTATGCTGTCTCTTTTCTCTGCTTACATTATGACCAGGATACAGGGATGATATTAATCACATCTTCCCTCTTCTATGCTATGTCTCTTTTCTCTGCTTACATTATGACCCAGGATACAAGGATGATATTAAGTGACACTCTTCCTCTTCTGTGCTATGTCTCTTTTTCTCTGCAACATTATGACAGGATACAGGGATGATATTGCAACTCTTCCCTCTTCTATGCAATGTCTTTTTCTCTGCTTACATTATGACAGGATACAGGGATGATATTAAGCACACTTCTATGCCCTCTGCTTTGACAGGATACATGGAGATATTAAACACCTCTTCCCTCTTCTATGTCTCTTTTTCTCTGCTTACATTATGACAGGATACAGGGATGATATTAAGCACCTCTTCCCTCTTCTATGCAATGTCTCTTTTCTCTGCTTACATTATGACAGGATACAGGGATGATATTATTTAGTACACTCTTCCCTCTTCTATGCTATGTCTCTTTTTCTCTGCTTACATTATGACAGGATACAGGGATGATATTAAGCACACTCTTCCCCTCTTCTATGCTATGTCTCTTTTCTCTGCTTACATTATGACAGGATACAGGGATGATATTAACAGGATACACCTTTTCTTCCCACTCTTCTATGCTATGTCTCTTTTTTCTCTGCTTACATTATGACAGGATACAGGGATGATATTAAGCACACTCTTCCCCTCTTCTATGCTGTCTCTTTTCTCTGCTTACATTATGACAGGATACAGGGATGATATTAAGCACACTCTTCCCTCTTCTATGCAATGTCTCTTTTCTGCTTACATTATGACAGGATACAGGGGATGATATTAAAGCACACTCTTCCCTCTTCTATGCTATGTCTCTTTTTTCTCTGCTTACATTATGACAGGATACATGGATGTCAATAAGCACCCTCTTCTATGCTTCTCTTTTTCTGCTTACATTATGACAGGATACAGGGATGATATTAAAGCACACTCTTCCCTCTTCTATCTGTCTCTTTTTTCTGCTTACATTTTCATGACAGGGGGGATGATATTAAACACACTCAACCCCTCTTCTATGCTATGTCTCTTTTTCTCTGCTTACATTATGACAGGATACAGGGATGATATTAAGCACACCTCTTCCCCTTTCTATGCAATGTCTCTTTTTTCTGCTTACATTATGACAGGATACAGGGATGATATTAAAAGCACACTCTTCCCTCTTCTATGCAATGTCTCTTTTTCTCTGTTTACATTATGACAGGATACAGGGATGATATTAAGCACCTCTTCCCTCTTCATGCTATGTCTTTTTTTCTGATTACATAATGAGACAGGATACAGGGATGATATTAAGCACACTCTACCCTATTCTATGCTAATGTCTCTTTTCTCTTACTTTTCATTATGACAGGATACAGGATGATATTAAGCACACTCTTCCCTCTTCTATGCAATGTCTCTTTTCTCTGCTTACATTATGACACACGATACAGGGATGATATTACACACTTTACCTCTTCTATGCTATGTCTTTTTTCCTGCTTTATTAATGAGAGGATACATGGATGATATTAAGCACACTTCCCTCTTCTATGCAATGTCTCTTTTTTCTGCTTCATTTAATGACAGGATACAGGGATGATACACCCACCTCTTCCCCTTCTATGCTATGTCAATTTTCTCTTTTTCTCTGGATGATATTAACATCATGCGTCTCTTGGGATGATATGATATTAAACTTCTTCCTCTTCTATGCTATGTCTCTTTTTCTCTGCTACAGGGATGATAATGCTTTTCTCTGCCCTCTTCTATGATGTCTTTTCTCTGCTTACATTGGATGATATGATGTCAATCCCACTTCCCTTTCTCTGCTGTCTCTTTTTCTCTTAACTTACATTATGACAGGATACAGGATGATATATTAAGCACACTCTTCCCTCTTCTATGCAATGTCTCTTTTCTCTGCTTACATCATGACAGGATACAGGGATGATATTATGCACTCTCTTCCCCTCTTCTATGCTATGTCTCTTTTTCTCTGCTTACATTATGACAGGATACAGGGGATGATATTAAGCATGATGTCTCTTTTCTCTGCTTACATTATGACAGGATACAGGGGACATTAAGCCCTCTTCCCCTATTCTCTATGTCTATTTTCTGCTTACATTATGACAGGATACAGGACATGATAATATTGCACACTCTTTCCCTCTTCTAATTCTAGTGTCTCTTTTCTCTGCTTACATTATGACAGGATACAGGGATGATATTAATCACACTCTTCCCTCTTCTATGCAATATGTCTTTTTCTCTGCTTACATTATGACAGGATATAATCCACACTTTTCCCTCTTCCTATGCAATGGCCCTCTTTTCTGCTTACATTAAGACAGGATACCTCTTCCCCCTTCTATGCAATGTCTTTTTCTCTCTGCCACATTATGACAGGATACAGGGATGATATTAAGCACACTTTCCCTTTCTTGCAATGTCTCTCTCTATGCTATGATATCTTTCCCTCTTCTATGTAATGTCTCTTTTTCTCTGCTTACATTATGACAGGGATGCAGGGATGATATTAATCCACTCTTCCCTCTTCTATGCTATGTCTCTTTTTCTCTGCTTACATTATGACAGGATACAGGGGATGATATTAAGCACACTCTTCCCTCTTCATGCAATGTCTCTTTTCTCTGCTTACATTATGACAGGATACAGGGATGATATTAAGCACACTCTCTTTTCCCATTATGATTCTCTGCTTCCTTACAATGTCTTCTTTTCTCTGCTTTACATTTCCCCTCTTCTGACCTGATTGTGACAGGGGATGATATTAAGCTCTTCCCCTCTTCTGTGCATGTCTCTTTTTCCTGCTTCTATGACTACAGGGATGATGTCCTCTTTTCAATGTCTCTTTTTCTCTTTACATTATGACAGGATACAGGATGATGATGTCTCTTTTCTCTGCTTACATTATGACGGATACAGGGATGATATTAAGCTCTTCCTATGCAATGTCTCTTTTTTTCTCCTTTATTTATGACAGGATACAGGGGATGATATTACACTTCTCTTCCCTCTTCTATACTCTGCTTAATGACAGGATACAGGGGATGATATTAAGCACTCTTCCCCTCTTCTGGTCTCTTTTCTCTGCTTACATTACAGGATACAGGATGATATTAAGCACACTCTTCCCCTCTTCTATGCAATGTCTCTTTCTCTGCTTACATTATAACAGGATACAGGGATGATATTAAGCACACTCTTTTTCTATGCAATGTCTCTTTTTCTCTGCTTACATTATGACAGGATACAGGATGATATTAAGACCTCTTCCCCTCTTCTATGCAATGTCTCTTTTCTCTGCTTACATAATGACTACAGGGATGATATTAAGCACCTCTTCCCCTCTTCTATGCTATGTCTCTTTTCTCTGCTTACATTATGACAGGATCTGATATTAAACACTCTTCCCCTTTCTCTGCAATGTCTCTTTTTTCTCTGACATTTATGATACAGGATGATAATATTCTTCCCCTCTTCTATACACTCTTTTCTCTGCTTACATTGTGACAGGATACAGGGATGATATTAAGCACACTCTTCCCCTCTTCT